AAATAAATAAAATAAATAAAATAAATAAAATAAATAAAATAAATAAAATAAATAAATAAAATAAAATAAATAAGAAATGAAATGAAATGAAATGAAATGAAATGAAATGAAAGTCACACAACCCACTCCTTCGTGACAAATCAACGACCGTCTCATTTTCGGACTTTGGAGCTGGCTGCCTCTTTGCTTTGGCGCCTCTCCAAGCCGAGGGGAGCGAGCGGTCTCTTTTCCCCTCGCCTTCCCGACGCTCAGGGACCTTTAGAAACGACCCCCCCCCCCCAGTCCGCTCAGAGCTTCCTCCGTGTTCGGGGCGCCTCCCCGAGGTCGGCCGAGGCGGCTGTTCTTGCAATCTCATGGAGCGCTCGGAGGAGGGAGGAGCCGCCGCCAGCCCGGCCGACATGGCAGCCCTGCACGCAGCCAAGCGCGCCCTGCGAGCGGAGCTGAAGCGCCGCCTGAAAGGGCTGAGCGAAGCCGAGAAGGTCCGCCAGTCGCACCTGCTGGCCGGCAAGGTGGGTGGGAGAGTCGGTGGGAGAGCGGAGGCTGTGGCTTTCTCCGGACGGTCCCCTCCAGGGGCCTTTGCAGCCGAGCCCGGAGAACGCGAGAAAGTCCCCGGGGGCTTCCGCCGCGGACCTCTCCAAAAGCGCAAAGCCCGTGCGCCCACGCGCGTCTCGAAACTGGTGCCCGCAGACCTTGGCAGACCCGGGGATTTCCCCACTCCCGACTGAGAATCCTCGCCCCTCGCCCGCCACTCCCACCGCCCCCATAGGCGACTAAGGACCTGGCCTTCCAGGGAAGGGAGGGAGGGTATTCGGGGAAAGGGCAGCGGGTGAGCGCGGAGGGGATTTGGCAACGGTGGAAGGGGACCTAGCGCTGCGCTCTGCTTGTCTGGGGGACGCCTTGAAGCCTTTCTTGCCTTCTCCCAGAAGCGGAAATTCAGGGCGAAGACCTGGCTCTGTCTTGCGGTTGCCAACTCTCACTCTGGAAGCAAGGCTGGGCTTGGAGCCAAAGGGTTTCACAGCGAAGGCAAAGAAGGAAGTGGAAACTGGCTTGGCAAGTCACAGGCTGGAGGTTGGTCGTGAGAATCCGCCCCACGGCGCTCTCCTTCAGCAAACCACGTTGTAGCTTTGAGCATTGGCAGGAATCCAGCACGGTCTGTCATCTTCTGCCTTTTAGGAGAGGGTAAAAAACACAGCAGGGAGGCAGGTGGCTCAGTGGCTAAGACGCTGAGCTTGTCGAACGTTGGCAGTTCGGCGGTTCGAATCCCTGGCACTGCGTAATGGGGTGAGCTCCCTTTACTTGTCCTAGCGTCTGCCAACCTAGCAGTTCGAAAGCATGTAAAAATGCAAGTAGAAAAATAGGAACCACCTTTGGTGGGAAGCGAACAGCGTTCCATGCCCTTTTGGCATTTAGTCATGCCCGCCACATGACCACGGAGACGTCTTCAGACAGCGCTGGCTCTTCGGCTTTGAAACGGAGATGAGCACCGCCCCCTAGAGTCAGGAACGACTAGCACATATGTGCGAGGGGAACCTTTACTTTTATGAAACACAGCATTGACTGAAGTGTCAAGTGTCATCTCTTTCTGTATGACCCTTGTGTTTTGTTTCATCTGTGTCCCAACCGCTTTGCAGAACTCCTTAACAGGAGCCTCAAGTTGTCTTCTCAATTTTTTTTTCATGGGTCTTTGGGGCTCTAAACAGATGTAAGTTGAAGATAATAAGGAGTCCGGAGGCTAAATTATATGACGAGCGATTGAGGGAGCTAGGGATGTTTTCGTCCCAAAGGTGCTTTTTCAAGAGGCAACTTGGACTTTCTGGGTTTTTTTTTAAAGACAGTTTGCTTCTTGGAAACTTCTTGGATGACAACTGAAAAGTCCTCAGAAACAACAACAACAACTAGAAAGTCCAATTGCCTTTTGAAAAAGCACCTTTGAAACAACCATGACCTGGATGACTGAGAATCTCCATAGACATTTAGCCTATGACTGATTTGGGGGGGGGGGGAGCTAGGTGTATTTAGCCTATCGAAGAGAAGAATTGAGGGGATATGACAACTGTCTTCCATTACTTGAAGGGCTGCCATAGAAGGGATTGACTTGTTTTCCAAAGCACCAGAAGGCATGACAAGAAATCATGAGTGGAAGACCATTAAAGAGAGACCCAACCTAGAACAAAGGAGAAGTTTTCTGACAGTGAGAACAATTATTCAGTGGGACAGCTTGCTTCCTGGAATTGTGGGTGTTTTCAACACTGGAGGTTTTCAAAAATAGATCAGACAACATTTAACTGGAATGGTATAAAGTTCCCTGCCTAGACTAGCATTCAACAAGACTAGAGTTGGACGAGAAGGTCTCCATGCTTTCTTCTAGCCCTATGATTTTGTGTATGGCTGAATTCAGTTTATTTCAAACTTGCCATGCAATTAGTTTCATTTGAAAATCTCAAAGGGGCTTTTTTTTCCCCAGGAGGCAACTGGACTTTTTTGTTGTTGTTTTTTTCCTTTTGAAGATGTTTCGCTTCTCATCCAAGAAGCTTCTTCAGCTCTGACGGGATAGTGGGGGATGGAAGGGTTTATATTCCTTGAAAACAGCTGGTCATTTGCACCCTTTTAGAGCAGGAGTCTCCAGCCTCACCAACTTTAAGGCTTATGGACTTCAATTCTGGAAGTTGGAAGTTCGCAAGTCGTAAAGTGGGCAAGGTTGGAGACCCCTGTTTTAGAGGGTCTTTGAAGCACTTGGAGGTTTATCTGTGTCCTCGGGGTCACCTGAGTGGTGCTCCTGGTTCCTGCAGTCTGCAATTTTTCCTCTGGAAATCCACTCCTACTCCCACTCAAAGGGTGTTCATCCCAAATTGTATAGCTAAAAGCCTGCAAGGAATATAGATCCTTCCAGTGATGGGTTTCAAAAATTGTTCGAACCTACTCTGTGGGTGTGGCCTCCTTTGTGGGAGTGGCTTGCTGCCCATGTGACCGGATGGGAGTGG